TCTATCTATCTATCGATCGTTGATCGATCTCTCTATCTGTGTGTCTGTCTATCTATCTACGTGTCTATCTGCAAGCTTGAAAACGAAGCTATTCTGCGAGACGTCCTCAGGTTTTGAACTTGACAACATCAAAAAACGCAGCAATGCTGCGAGTCTTCCTCAATGTTTGAAGGTGACAACGTCAGAAACGAAGCAAGTCTGCGACACTTCCTCATTTTTCGAAGTTGACAACATCAAAAACGAAGCAATTCTGCGAGACGTCCTTCAAAAATGGAAAGTTGCATGCAACGCTGACGGCCTCGTGCCAATGCGTCTTGCGATTTTTCCAATCCATCTGTCTAAACTACTGCGCCTGCCACGAAAAAGTGATGCCAGGTCATACGAAGTGCTGCACCTGTCACGCAAAATCATCTCAGCAAACCTGAAGATCTGATGCTCCACAATGCAACCCCTCTCAGGAAATCAACGAACGGACCTCCTAACAGCTCTGATGAACATGTCTCTTGTACTGCGCCTGCCACGGAAAATGCGTCTTTCCAGATCTTCTTCAAGTGTCCCACGCTTGCGATCGTTTTTGGAAATGCCACAAAACCCTCACGTTTTGCTCACTTTTGACAAGGTCCACAATCCCTTGCGCCTGCCACGCGAAAGCACATCTGAACCTCCAAAAGTGGTCCGGACCCCTGGTGTTTTTAACATTTTGACTTCGAAATGTGCTTCACGCCACAACGGCGTGCACTTTTTCGGCATCTCAACTTCCAAAAGTGGCCCGAGCATGGTGTGTTTTCTACATTTTGACTTCGAAATGTGCTTCGCGCCACAACGGCGTGCACTTGTTCGACATCTCAACTTCCAAAAGTGGTCCGGACCTGGTGTGTTTTGTACATTTTGACTTCGAAATGCGCTTCGCGCCACAACGGCGTGCCCCTTTTCGACATCTCAACTTCCAAACATTTTGACTTGGACACGTGCTTCGCGCCACAACAACGTGCACTTTTTCATCTCTCATCTGGCCAGATGGCTCTGCACCCGCCGCTTTAGCGAGCCTACTTTTCGACCCTCCGGAGCCACAAATCATTGGAAAAACACAGTGTTTCGCGACTTTCCTACCTTTTCGCGCATCTGCATCTTCTTTCATTCGACTCTTTCTCTTCTCTGATCTTCTCTCTTCTACTCTTCTCTTCTCTCTGACTCTTCCCATCTCTGCTTTTTATCTGTGCATATTGTCGGAAGTTTGACTTCTAAATCTAATCTTTCTATTTAATCTTTCTATTTAATCTATCTATTTAATATGTCTATTTAATCTGTCTATTTAACCTATCTATTTTAGCCGTCCATCTAATCTATCTATCTAGTCTAATCTATCTATCAAACCTAATCGAATCTAAACTAATCTACTCTAACCTAACCTAATCTAATCTAATCTAATCTAAAATAATCTAATCTAATCTAATCTAATCTAACCTAACCTAATCTAATCTAATCTTATCTTATCTAACCTAACCTAAATCTAATCTAATCTAATCTAATCCAATCTATCTATCTGACCCATCTAATGTATCTAATCTATCTAACCTATCAATCTATCAGCCTATCAATCTACCAGCCTGTCAATCTATCAATCTATCAATCTAACAATCTATCAATCTATCAATGTATCAATGTATCAATCTACCTATCTACCTGTCTACCTATCTACCTATCTACCTATCTACCTATCTACCTACCTACCTATCTACCTACCTACCTACCTATCTATCTATCTATCTATCTGTCCATCTATCCATCTATCCATCTATGTATCTATGTATCTATCTATCGATCTATCGATCTATCTATCTATCGATCGATTGATCGATCGATCGATCGATCTATCTAATCTAATCTAATCTAATCTCATCTCATCTCATCTCATCTCATCTCATCTCATCTCATCTCATCTCATCTAATCTAATCTAATCTAATCTAATCTAATCGATCTATCTATCTAAACACACCTTGTATCCCTACATGTACCTTAATCCAACCCTCAACAGACTTTGAATCGACCATAAACCAACCCTAAATAACAATAAATAGCCCTAAATAACCCTAAATTACCCTAAGCCAACCATAAACCAACCCAACATGACCCTCCCTAAATAAACCCTAAACCGACCCTAAACTAAATAACCTTAAGCCAACCCTAAATAAATTTAAGCCCTAAATAAAACCTAAACCAACCCTAAACAAACCCTGAACCAACCCTAAATAACCCTAATTAAACCCTAAACAAACTTTAAATAAACAGTAAACCAACCCTAAATAAACCCTAGACCAAACCTAAATAACCCTAAGTACACCCTAAACCAACCGTAAACCAAGCCTAAATAACACTAAACCAACCCTAAATAAACCCTAAACCAACCCTAAATAAATCTAAACCAACCCCCTAAATACACCCTAAACCAACCCTAAATAAACCCTAACCCAACCCTAAATAAACCCTAAACCAAACCTAAATAAACCCTAAACACAAACCCTAAACATAACCCAAATGACCCCAAACCAACCATAAACCAAACCTAAATAAACCTAAACCAACCCGAAATAAACCTAAGCCAACCCTAAATAACCCTAAATACACCCTAAACCAACCCTAAACCAAACCTAAATAAAAAACTAAACCAACCCTAAACACCAAATAAACCCTAAACCAAACCTAAACATAACCTAAATGACCCTAAACCAACCATAAACCAAACCTAAATAAACCCTAAACCAACCCTAAATAAATGTAAGCCAACCCTAAATAACCCTAAATAAACCCTAAACCAACCGTAAATAAAACCAAAACGAACCCTAAAATAACCCTAAATAAACCCTAAACCAACCGTAAATAAACTCTAAACCAACCGACACTATGATAGCATCCAATGCAACTATTTAGACCCAACACGGTTGTGTTTCAACCTATATTCTACATGTTCACCAGGTGCATGTTATGCATGGAAAAATCGATCGAAACCATAAAAAAAACAATTGAAACCATGGAAAACTCAATGGAAACTATGGAAAAATAGATGAAAACATTGGGTAAATCAATGAACACCATGGAAAAACCGGCTAAAACAATGGAAAAATCGATGAACAGTGCAAATGGCAATATTTTAGCTCCAAAATTCAGCAAAGTACAGGTTCTTGCTCCAAAATGTAGCAGATAGCAAGGAAAAGTGCCCCAGACTGCAAAACAAAAAAAAAATCCCACCCCCAAAAAAACAAAAAATATGCACCCTTTTAGTTGTTGTCCATGTTGGGTTCAACTCATTATCTACATTCAGGACACTTGTTACAATTAGTTTTACATAACCAGATTCCGTGGGGTCTGTGAGTTCAATCAACGTTGAATTTGGATTGGGTTTCAAACACAACATGAATTTGAATTCTTTTAAATTCAAAGCAAAATCGATTCCAAAACCATCCGTGTGATTTCACAGATGAATTCAAAACACTTTGAGTTCGACCTTTCATTGTTGTACTTTCTGCAAAGTCACAGCACGTTGAGTGTGAAGTCACCCAGCACAGCAGCTGAGAATATTTTGAGCGCAGAGGATTGGGCACTACGATTTTGTAGCGCGATGATTTGGGCAATGTTAGTGCTGCTAGTGCGGGTATGGTTACTTTGTTGGGGTGTTGTTTCCAGAAGCAAATCACCGAAATTTTGGAAGAACATGAGGCCCAACTCAAACATACCCACAACGGCCGTAATCATTTTGTAGTGGCTGGGCGAGGTACGTCCGGTTTGTATTGCAGTGGGTTGGGCGCTACTAAGTACATCTAAGTACTTGTAATGTGCCCTTTGTGCATCTTTCACTCCTGGCCTCCAACCCTCGACAACATTTCTCAACATAGCATGTTGAAAGATGAACGTGGTCTGTGCTCGCCCTGAACTGATGCCCGACGGATGTTCTTACTTTTGGTTTCTATTTGCATCAGCGTGGAACGAACCAAAGCACATACATCGTACGGGGAAGATGTTTATGCGGCATTCTCAGCCTTCTTTGTTCTTGCCTCGTTGCAAACTATCAAATATCTCTTCGTCTGTAAAGCTGAAAAAGGACCAAGTCTTGTGGGTGTATTTCTTTTTTGACTTGTTGTAGTTTTTGTTGTTTTAAATGTAGATTCTATTCTTTAAACCAACCATCAAACCATGTGTTCAAGTGTTTCATGTTTAAGAAGAACAGTCTTTTGGGAGATTTCATTTTTGTTTGATTTGTTGATGTTTGGAAATTCAAAAGGATTGAAAACCATTGACAAATATGAATGCCAAAAACAGGTTTCAAATTATCAAGGAAAATAACAATGGTCAGATTGTACATGAGGGTCCATCACACATATGTATAATTATATGAAATTCTACATGCATAATCATAATATATATATATGTGCGGTATATACATATACGTATACATATGCATACATTTGCGTATATGAATCTATATGTTATATGTACATATGCCATTAACACTTCACCCAGTCTCCATGTTGCTACCATAAAACGCATTGCCCGTCAATCCCACGCATCAGACCCTGAGGCATTTGGTGAACTTCATGGGAACTGACACGGTGGCCTCCATGATTTGTGCGCGCGACTACTACGGATCCAAGAAGGCTGGAAGACAACACCCTATCCATGTGAATTTCGATGATGTGAATAAGGTGTCACAGATTGAATTCCAGACCCTGAAGCCTGCAGAATTTCCGTTTCCTTTGGCCAACGATCCACTTCTGGGATTGCAAGAAAAATCGAGCTGTTGAGCTTTTCCTCATGACCGTGACCGTGACACGTCTTGAAATTCATCGATGGGTTTGATATATATATATATATCATATATTGTCATATTATGTTGGTATCTGACGGTCTCTGGTATCGGTGAAGATAGGTGAAAATCGGTGAAGATCGGGTTGTGACTCCCCAAGGCTGCCGGTGGCTCCATCCCAGCGTCGGAGCACTCCACCATTACCTCCTGGGGCGTTGAGGGTGAATGCGATGCCATGAGGCAAGGGCGCAAGGGCGCAAGGAAGGGCGCAAGGAAGGGCGCAAGGAAGGGCGCAAGGAAGGGCGCAAGGATGTTCAATGTGCTCATAGCTGTTTCGATTGATGTGGTTGTGTCTGTGCTTCTTCTCCGTATTCTTATGGTGGTGGTGGGGCTGGTGTTTGTTGTGCTTGTTATTGTGCTTCAGGTTGTGGTTGCGGTCGTGTGCTGTTGCAGTTGCGCTTGTGTTTGTTAATGTGGTTGTGCTTGTGCTTGTGGTTGTTGATGTGGTGTGCGTGTGCCTGTGCTTGTGGTTCTGCTAGTTGCTGTTGCTGTCGGTGGTGGTGCTGTTGCGATTGCGGTTGCGGTTGCTGTTGCTCTTGCGGTTGCTGTTGCTGTTATTGTTGTGGCTGCTGCTGCTGTTCTTGCTGTTTTTGCTGTTCTTGCTGTTCTTGCTGTTCTTGCTGTTCTTGCTGTTCTTGCTGTTCTTGCTGTTCTTGCTGTTCTTGCTGTTCTTGCTGTTCTTCTTCTTCTTCTTCTTCTTCTTCTTCTTCTTCTTCTTGTCTTTTACTGTGTTATTGTTATGTCGTTGTTCATTTTCTTATCTTATGCTGTTGTAAATTCTTGCATCGGTTTCTTGTTTTATTTTCTTGTTTGTGACTGTGAGTGCTCTTGTTTTATTTTGTTGCTCTTGTTCTTATTGGTTTTCTTGTTCTGGTTGTTCTGTTGCCCTTGTTGCTCTTGTTGCTCGTGTTGCTCGTGTGTTGTTCTTGTTGTGGCTTTCGTTATGCTTTTCTCTTCCGGTAGTCATGGTGGCGGCAGTGGTGATTGTTTTGGTGGTGACGGTGGCGGTAGTCATGCTGTTCATCACGCTCCGGGTGAAAGTGGTTCACGCTGGCTTGCCCTCAAGCTGAGTGTAATGTTCCACCAAAGAAGTAGCAGAGAGAGGTCAGAGAGGTATTCAGCAAGATTGATCCCCGAGAGAAGCAGTAGGTATGCACCTGTGGTGCGCTTTGACAGGCGTTTTGGGTCGGGTAGAGTCGGGGAGAGTCGAGTAGAGGTTGTGTTTGCGCAGGAACATGCTTGAATCCTACCCAGAGGGCTTGGTGGCCTGCGCTACTTGGCGAGAGAGCCGACACTAGACCTTGGCTCTTGAAGTATGTGCTTCAATGTGCTTTGCTTTAACTGAAGTATGCTAAAGCATTTAACATATGCAAAGTCTGGGATGTTGAACATCCCCTTGTTGAAGATTATTCCCCATCGGTTGCAGTTATATACAAAGCTGATTCTTGAAGCAAGGGGACATTGCACCAACCCCAACCCCTAAGGATGAGGTTGTGTCTTTCCTGCCATTGTTTTGCTGGAAGATTTGCTAAAAAACAAGCCTCAGCCTCGAATATTCAAAAGGACTTGTATCTTTCCGTTGTGAAAGTCAGCAGGGTCGGCAAGACAGGCACATACCTTCCGAACCGCAGAGCACAAGCAATAATAAATCCGCTTGACCCTCCTGTTGGATCTTCATTAAACTTCCGGATTGGGCAATTTGTCAATACATGTCAATACAAGAAGATACTTGAAAGAGGTAGAGTCAGGTAGAGGGAAGCTGACGTACTCTTGGGGTCCGCCCATGCTCTCTGCCGGTCCCACGGAGGTGTCTGATTCTTTCGACATTTGGCGGGCATGCAAAGACTATTGGGGGGACAAGTTGAAGGACTTGATTAAGGGACGTACCTTTGGTAGCAGCTGTGGAGCCCGGGTAAAAACAAATTCCTCTCAGTTTCACTGTAGCAAGATGTATTCACAGCACCTTTTCCGGCGGCGGTTTCAAAATCTGTTTTAAAGTATGTGAATTTGTGTTCCTATTTGGGATGGTGATTCCGATTGACGTGTGCGCGTTTTTGTGTAGGGTGGCGTGATTTTGGACCCCACCGTGGCAGTTCTAGAGCAAACGGGGATCAGGTATCACTGACACCAAGTTTGGACGCTTGGTGGTTCGTCCTGACAGCGGTGACCCGGCTGAGACTTGCTGCTCTATTTTGAAGCACCTTGGCAGCAAGTCAACTAAGCCTAGCAACCAAAACAGCAGTAATATTTCGCCCAAGAGCACATGTATACTGTGAGCAACGCCGGAAATGCCGTGTTTCTTGCGGCTTGTGCGCTGCTCCGACCATTCCGACAAGCTTGAATCCACACCGAGCACCCGCATCAAGGGGCTTGAAACGGTGTAAACATGTTCAGCGGTCTCCTTGGAACATGGACACCTTGAGGTTGCATTCAGATTTGGCTGAGCCCTAAGGATTCTGCTTGAGCAGTTCAAGGCTGGCTCATTTGTGTGGGTGTGACTATGATCAGTGCTTGAAATGCGCCGAACATGTAACCCCAGGAAATGGGTGCTTGAGCATACCAACATTCAACATGATCTAGTTTGCCATTTTGTGCGCTCACCTTTGACCCACAGCCTTTTGGGGGTGCGAGGAGGATGTGACCACCACGCCCACAGGACCACATGGGACATGTGGAGGCTTAAGTTGCGTGTAGGCCAGTGTAGGCTGGTCGAGGTGAGAGCTGGGAGATCTGAAGTCAAAAAGACTAGAGGAGAGCTGGCGGCACTTAAACTAGTATATACCTCGAACAAGTCAGACATTCAGCGGATTGGAAAGACCACTTGCCGCTTGCCCAAGCCCAAGCCCTGAATGGAGGACACAAGCTCCTTCCTCCATACATCCGCGTCATCCAGGTTGGTTTGAACGTAGTTTTATATTTTGAAGGGAAGGTCTTCTGGGCAACAGTTGGCTGATAGCGTGAAGTCCCTTGTGGGAGAAATTCAGTCAGCATACGTGCTTGTGAAAACATACTCCTGACCTTTGATGCAATCAAGAACCAATTGAGGCCGGTCCCAAAATCCTTTAAATAAATCAGCCCCAGGGCGACGGTGTCGACTGGGAGTCCATTCCAAAGATCCTGGAGAAGTTGAAGAAGGAGAATATCGCAGCAGATCCTTGGCAGAGTGAGACCGTTGTGGCGAAAGAATCGCCGACGCAGTGGCATTGTTGCATCAAGTACAGCTGCGCACGCACGTGTGCTTTGCTACGGTGCAGTACAAATCGCAGCGGAGTGACTGAGTGAATGCTGCTAGCTGCTGCGGCTGTGTGCGTAGCTGGACAGAGTTGTTGAATCTTGCTGCGCAATTCGCCGTGGAACCGCTGTCTCAAGGACGCACATAGCGGTGACAAGATATGTTTCTTTTGACATGAGACAAGATGGGATGAGATGATGCAAAGCGACGATGTAAGAACATCTGTCTCTTTGTCTGCCTGCCTGCCTGCCTGCCTGCCTGCCTGCCTGCCAGGCTGTCCATCTCTATCTACCTCCATCCATCTCTATCTAACTCCATCTGTCTCCATTTGTCTCTATGTATCTCTACGTATGTATCTCTATGTATCTCTATCTATCTATCTATCTACCTACCTACC